AAACAAATGGATCTTTCCATAAAGATGAAATATTGATATTGTGCCATTGTCTGTTGACAAGTATGCAAGAATATAATGTTTTATAGTCATCTTCAATATATATTTGAATATTTCAATGAGAAGTTCAGGCGGAATCGCCTGACGTTCACGTTCAACACCGCTAATTAAATAAAAAACAGTTCATAAATAAATAACTAGAGTAGCGACGGGTGGCGGGCGATAACCACCACCACCATCCTTAAAACACTTACCTACTTCCCCCAGCCCGAATATCAATTCTGCTTCTTTTGTTGTTGTTGTGTTGTCGTGGCATTAATAAAAATTTTTAAAAAATTTAAAAGAAGTTTTGTTATGATCGACGCGTACATACTAATTATTTATCCTATTGGTTATTTTTTTTGGTAGGACAGACGCGAATTGATTTTTTTTTTTCTTTCATGGAAAAACAATTTTATTTTTTGACAGAGTCCAAGGTGACAAAACGTGAGCGTAGTGGTTTGGTTTGGTTTGGGTCTCCTAAAAAAGACGTGTTAATAACTAACCAGAGGTACTATTTTTTATTTGTATTGATTGATATTTATTTTGGTTATTATAAACATTTTAATTGGAAATCAAAACGCAGAGCAGATCTTGTTGGGTAATTACAAGATTTTCATTGATAATATTTTGCTTTTCGTAATCAATAATATTATAATCACAAGATGTCAAGGCAGCATACTGTTGAAAAAGAGACATTTTGAGTCTGCAACGTTTGATTATCGGAAATTGGCAGACATTGAAGCACGCACGCTACCTTGAACACATTACAGTCATTCTCACACCTTCCTTGTGTACATAAGGCTAATCTGACCAAGTTTCGCTCAATGATACAATGATGCAACCAAACTCCAGGGGAGGGACCCATGGTCCTGGAGTTTACCGAGACTGCACTAATCATCAATGACACTTTCACTAATCTTCCCAGACCAGAGATGGCTGCTGGCATGTTGGCCAAAAATTCAACTGCAACGATCCCACCTCTAGGGTAAGGATGGCTCTATGACCAAGTTGCAACTCTACTGATGAATATTAAGAGAATCTGCAGTTCGTTCAAGCACAGGAGGTTACAATTCAGAGCAGGGTTGGTGGCCCTGATATTAAGAGGGAAGTTGTAAAATAGTGTTTGTTTTGTATAATCATTTCCTAAATGCTCTGTTTTTTGATACTAACTAACCAATTTATGATTTTGGGTAAGGGACTAGATGGGTTTTTACCCAATCATTCCTCTGTTGTATAGTTTAAAATTATTGCATGATTATATACATCCTTGTCAGCAATGTGACCAACAAGAAAAAGAAAAAAGTTATAAAAATGATTCAGATTTTGTTTGGTATGTTATAAATTAATCATTTTCTGCTTCTCTTTAATTTTTTCTGACCAACTGAATTTGTTATTTTGGTAAATGGGGGTAGGGTTGTTGGCAAGTAGGCATGCCACTGACAAGACAGGGGACGCCTTTTGGATGTACCAGCCAAACTCATAGAAAGGGATCTTTTGTCCAGACTTAGGGTCACATGGACTATCAAT